GAACAACAACAAAAATTTTATACAACATAATAGTAAATTTTTTTTAAAAAGCAAGAGAAATGCAAATGATTTTGGATGAGATTAAAAAAAAAGAAAGAAGAGTTTAAAAAAATCTCCAGGGATGATAACTGTAACTCACCAAATTGAGCTTTTACAGAGGCAATTACCTATGTAAACAATGAGAGAGAGGGAAATAAAGATGAACAATGTAAAACAAAGAAATTTTGAATTTGCAAATAAACCAGGGAGATGGTTGGCATACAAGTTGCAAAAAGAAAAAGAAAAGAAAGTGATATCAAATTTACAAGAAGGGAATACAGTAATAACAGATAATGTGAATATGCGAAAACCATTTCATCAGTATTATACTATTTCATACAAAGGTCAAGAAATTTCCTCAGAAAAAGTGGATGAATACTTGCAAAACAGAATTTACTGAAGATTACAGATAATCAGAAAAAATTTAAATGGACCTATAACAATCAGGGAGTTGTGTGAAGCTATCAAAAAGACTAAAACAGGAAAGGTACCTAGTCCAGATGGGTTGCTGGCCTCTTACTATAGGTATTCTGAAGAAGAGCTTTTACAACCTTTACAACAAACAATGAATATTATTTTGTAGAATGGAAAGATTCCTACTAGTTAGAAGGAGGCTAATATAACATTAACACCTAAAGAGGGACAAGATTTGATTTTAACAAAGAACTATCAACCAATATATTTATTGAATAATGATTACAAACTGCTTACCATGATTTTTGTTGAAAGGTTGGAAATAATTTTACAGGATTTTATTCATGAAGGTCAATGTGAGTTGTTACCTACAGACAACTACAATAATATTAGAAATGTTTTAAATATTCTGGAATACTTGGAGCAACTTAATGAAAAACAAGCTGCATTGATATTCTTAGATGAAGAGAAGGTCTTTGACAATTTGAATTGGATTTTTTTGTTTAGACTTCTGGAATATATGAGCCTTGGAGATAATTTTATTAAATGGGTAAGGTTGATTTATACTTCTCAGAAAGCACAAATAATTGTTAATGGAGAACTAACAAAACCTTGTGAGACTCAAAAAGGAACAAAACAAGGATGTCCACTGTCCCCATTTTTGTTCATTTTGGTTCTTGAAGTATTAAATGGAGACATAAGACAAGATCAGAGAATTATGGGAGTTAAGATTTAAAAAGAAACTTGTAAATTAAGGGCATTTGCAGATGATTTGGTGTTAATTTTAGAAGATCCACTAGAGGCAGTAGAAGCATTAATGGGAAAATTAAAAGACTTTGGTATATTAGTAGGTTTCAAGATTAATAATCTGAAGACAAAGATGTTAACAAAAAGTATGAAATTAGAAGATCAAATAGAATTGATGGAAAAAACTGGTTTTAAGATTGAGAAAAAATTAAAATACTTGGGTATTACTGTGACAAATATAAATTGTATGTTATTTCAAAATAATTATGTTAAGACATGGATTGAAATTAAGAAGGACATGTTAAGATGGGAGAAATTAAAATTGCCACTGTTGGGGAGAATTTCTTTGATAAAAATGAATGTTTTGCCAAGAATGATGTTTTTGTTTCAGACAATGCCTGTTCTGACAATGGATGTACCATTTAAACAATGGCAAAAAGACATCTACATTTATATGGCAAGGGAAAAAACCATGAGTTAAATGTGAAGAGTTACAAGATGCAAAGGAAAGAGGAGGATTGGGTTTACCGGATTTGAAATTGTATTTCGCTGCTTGTTGTTTGGTCTGGATGAAAGAATGGATATTGCTGAGAAACAAGAGACTTTTACAGTTAGAATGGCATGGATATTTATTGGTATGATAAATTAATTAAGTTACAGTGTGGACTTTAAAAATCATTTTATTAGACATACCATATTGAGAATATGGAATAAATATAAACCCAGGTTGTGCCTAAAAGCACCTTTATGGATCTCAGCTCAAGAAGCATATTATAGAAGAGAAATGGCAGATAAAGGTAAATGACTGATGTACCAGGACTTATTGGAAAACTATCAAGGGGAATTTAAAATCAAGTCAAGAGAACAATTAATAGCAGAAAGACAGAAGGAAAAATACTTTTTTCCCAAGCAATTTGTTAAAAAAAATAATAATTAAAAAATGGGAAGTTCTTATTTGTTTATAATATAATTTTCTATTTCTTTTGTGCTTCTTTAAATGTAATGTTCTATCAGACTGTTAACACAATTCTATGTATGTAAAAGACATTCTGTTAGTTATTCTGATATATTTTTCAATTGTTTCTTTCTCCCTACCCTACCCCTTGATTTACTACAGGTTTAACAAACTTAGGACGATGTTTGAGCTTCAGTTGCTCCGGAGACCTTTGTCTCCAAAGACGGAACCTGAACAATATATCCCAAAGAGGAAATGCGCTAAAGGTAATGTGGTCTTGTTCAAGATTACCAATATACTCCATTACTCTTTATTGAATTACTTTTCCAAAAGCCGATGTATAACTGAGGAGTGGGCACATAGCATTGATTGTGGTTGACCCTGTGCTATGTAATGGTAGGTAGATGATGGTTTATGACTCAATTATTAGGCAGCACAATGGTATCTTTGTTTACTCAAAAGAAAATCACATTCGTTGTAGTGAGCATACTCAGAACTATACACCCATCACTCCATTCCCTTTCAGGGTAAGCAGCTTTATGCAGAATACAAAAAGGCTTTGTATGCCAGAGAAATTAAAGGCTGGAGATTAAAAAAAGAAACAGAGCTAAATCTGGCATTCACTAATACCATTCTGAATCCCTCTATGCCTTTCCATCCTTACAAATCATTCTTGCTTTGTACACTGAATTTTATTCACTTTCCTTTTGAGATCTGATCAACACCACCCAGCCACTAGCCTTTTGGTCTTGTCTTCCTCTTCTTTCATATACAGTATTTGGGTTGCAATTCAAACTCCATTCATTCAACTATCACAAACATAATTTTTTGGGACTGGTCACTCTTTTTTTTTTTTAAATTCATTCCATATTCATTCTTGGTCCTATGGTATCTCTTGTTTTACCAACACGCACTTCCTATGTACCCCATTCCCATTGCATTCAACTCACTATTATGTCTCTCCTGACATATCCCACTCTCGCTTCCATATAACATAAAGTGGGCGGAGTCGTGTTCCTATGTATAGCCATTTTCACATTGTTTAGCAAAAACTCCTTCCTTGCAACAGATCACATACTATCCACTCCCTTTATACCAGAATTTCCAGATCTTAAAATGTATCCATGTAGTCTCCCTTCTTTAGTAAATGTTCTGCCGAGTTATATAAATTCATAATCTTTCTCTACTTTTTCATCATCTCTCTGTAGGTTACCATCATTTTCCCTATCTAACACAATTACCTTGTTTCTGATAATTAATTTTTAGGCCCATCTCCTCTTTGCATCATATATTCTAACTAACTTGCTCTGCAAGTCTTTGTGTTCTTGATAAATAACACAGCGTTATCTAAAAGCATATACAGTGGTACCTCGGGATACGAACTTAATCCGTCCCGTGACTCTGGGCGTATCCCGAGTT